TTGCTTAGCATGTGGCATTCAGTTCATAAAATACACAGGAAAACCATTTTCTTTATACTCAGTCTGGGCCTGTTCCCTTCATTCACGCAGCAATGCACAAACAAAGTACTTATTACTCTCCTCAGAACATTCCCTCTCAAAAATTACAGGAGACAGTTTCCCTTTTTGACACCTTTGTAAATTACAGGAGACAGTTTCCCTTTTTGACACCTTTGTAAGTCAGGTAAAAATGCTAGGTGACTTCTTTTTCCAGTAGATGAAATACAAAAGGGGAGAGACTTTTCTTTGGAATTTTTTTCATTTGTGTCTTCATTCCCATCAGCTTTTCAGCAGTCTGCTAGAACAGTCTGGGGGAGAATTCATAATTACAAGAGAGGATTCTCCTCCAGCATAGGCATAGAAGACGGTGTCATACACAAAATGCTCCACAAACCTCTGGTCTGTTGTGCCCTGCTTGCCACAAGAAAAAATATAAAAAAGAAAAATAAAAAGGAGTTGTATTCCTTGTGCTATGAAAGTAGAGGTTCAATTTTCCGTATCATTTCCTCTGTCAAAAGAGAAGAGCTGAAGTCCGCAGTTTTATTGCCTTAGGTGAAATATGAGTTGTCCCTAAACAGGACATAAATAAATCTGGTTTCTGCCCTTCTGGGGCTGGAAAATGGAAAATTTATTGTTGCTTTTTAAATTCTGCATTCAAAATCCAAATCTAGCTAAATTATTATCTAACTTCATGTAAATACATCTTAAAAATTCAGAAATGCCCTGATAAATCATAAATCCTTAAGTCTAAAATGCCAAAAGCAATGCTTTCTGAATAACGGATTATCTAAAGGAATTAGTTTATGACAGGAATTATACAGAGTTTTTCATTGAGCTCCAGTCTTATCTCATTGGAAATGAAAGTTCTTTTGAAGAGTAAAATGACTAGTCAGATTTCAGGGAAATAGCTATATATAAAAATCAATGCATAGCTGATATCCCAGTTAATAATTTCAGGGCAGATGCTATAGAATGAAGAGCTGGCAATCTTCCTAGTTTGGAGCAAACAGCATAAAAAAAAAAATTGCAATTACTAGGGAATACTCAGTGTCTAACTTTGGATCAGCTGGAGGATTTGGTCAATTTATCACTTTCAAAATATTTCATTTCCTTGCAGGGGGAAATCAATGAACATGAAAATTTAGCATCTATTTCCTTTTGCTAGATTAGTGGTGTATAACCGGAGACCTTTTGCATTACCTGTTTTACAATGCGTGCAACAAAGCAGATCATATTATGTTAAATGGTACCTATTTCACATTTAGGTCTATAAAATATTGTCAAAAGGTAATAGCCATCTGCCACTCTTTGATAATTGTTCAGGTGAAAACATTGGCTTTATGCTAATATGCTCTTGTTGTTACAAGCTACAGTAAACATCTGATGAACATCTAAACATTCTGTCTGACACAAGAGTCAGCCCACAGGCAGGGCAAATGTTAACATATGGAAAACATTCAATGGATAGAAGTTAATCTGGGGTAGGAAACTCCACAGTCTCTCTAGAAAAATAAATTTTGAACTGTGATATTTGTAAATTCTCCTGGTGGAAGCATTATACTCAGCTGGGAATTGCAATGCCTACCTCTTCAAGTATCAAATCTGCAGAAAGAAAAGCTGCCTTTTCCTTACACCAGTTTTGCCACTGAGGTTTAAGCTGGTATCATTTTTGTTGTTACTGTTGTTGGCAGGTGTGGGTGTTGTTTTGTTCTGGGCATTCTGGGAGTTTTGGAGGGGTTAAGGTTTGGGGTTTTGTTTTTTACGCTATCATGCACCACATTTCTGGAACCAAATCTAAGGTATCTGCTAAACTTACTGGCAACAGAAGTTGAGACACTAAGATGGACTTTGTGCAACCTGTGAATTCGATTAGGCAGGTTTCTTCAATTTGCAGACTTTATTTCCACACATCCCCGCAATGTGCTGAAACTTTCCAGTTTTGTAGCAAGCAGGCACATGACCTATCCCAGCTACCAGAGCTTCCAAAGGGGAGGCTGCCTTCCAATCATCAAGAAAACCTCAGTAGTTGCCTACTGCTTATTGCCAAGTTCACAAGAGGGGATCTTAAGTGCACATATCACATTCAACAATCAGCTTTTGTTTATCTTGTGCATGTCTATGTATGTCCGTTTGCTCAAGTTTCATATTCAAGATGATACAGGTTTGACACAGTGCATACCAGCCTGGCTAACTTTCAGTAGCAAAAGCACGCACCACGAGTTTCAGAACTACAACACAATTGGAATCTGCTCTCTCAGATTTTGTATTACATTTTGGTGGCCGGCCTAGACCGAATCTGCAACAATATCATATCTGAGAAATAGGAAGTCTGGCGTCCTATACCACAGTAGCAATGTCCCTTTTAAACTCTTCAAGCCACTGATGGAAAAATCTTCCCTTATCATTTGGTTGTGCTTATTTAGATACCATTTTTTATAACATTTGTGTATTTTCCAGTAGGTCTCTTTACAAAAAGCAGGCAAATCAATCCCTGCAAAGCTGCACAGAACCATTAAAAGTTACTGTCACAGCTGCAGCTGAAAAGCTATTACCAACCAAGCTGTTAGAAAATAAACATCAAAAAAATTAAGCCAAATCTGCATCAAACCCATGCATCTTAGACCCCTCTCCAAAGGCTGCCAGATCTGAACTCAGCCAGATCAAAAGTGAATTCCAAATGCATGAGCCTTCAAAATTCTGGAAGAGGATGCCAGTAGTTTGCAAACCTTGTGATGAGAAACAAATCTACCTGCAGGTAACTAGGTCTCAGCAACAACTTACTGAAATTCAGTAAAACGTGAGCAAAACTTCAATATGAAATTTCAGTTTGTGGACAGAAACTTTAAATAATCCAGATGACTACATCCACCACTGAACTGCACTACCTAGCACCTTCAGATTCTTACATTTCCTCTCTTTCAAAAAGCATGGCATGGTATTTTGCTAATGCAGGTGCCAAAAAGCCAGCATGAAAACATTAAATTTAATCTTTAGTCTTTGAATAGCAGCCTTTTCCCCTCATCTGTGTAGCTATACTATGGCTGAATCTATAATTGGCAATTTTGCAATGCATTCATCTGTAAACATGCTACATAGACTGGAAAAGTAGTAATAAACTGAACCAGAACTTTAAAGCATTGACAGAAAGCTAATTATATCAAGAGAAATAAGCAAGCCTTACTCCTGAGCAAGTACTTACAGTCTCTTTTCCTGTTTACTCTGAGTGACTTCAACTGTCCAGATTGCCATCTTAATGAACATAACTGTCCAAAGTGACTTGAAACATGAGTCTGATCAACATCTAAAATTTAATGCATAAATACTTAGAGACTGAGGCCTGGCCTTATGTTTCATTGTATTAGAGTGCTATTCATCCAGTGCATTTTTTTAACATAATAGAAGATGCATCAAGGATAAAAGAAGAGTGATCTCAGCTTTCTAAATCATCCCCAGGGAGTACCTCAGATCTCTTAATCCCACAGTCCTCACTGACTAGAACTTTTCAGAGTACTTTAAACTAAAACCAAATGTATTCACTTAGGAGATTTGATAAGGCATGAACTTCTTTTAAGCTTTTTTGATCTGATTTTTTAAAAAAACCCGCTGTTCTGTAAACAGTTTATTTTTATTTTCCTTTACGGAAAGCGCAATGGTAGTTGATAGAAACAATCTCACCAAAGTTGAGACCTAGGTTCAGATAATATCCGTCCTCTCAATTATAAGTCACAGGTGAAATCAGACTAAATAAGAGTAACTAGAGGTGAGAGCGTTTTACCCAACTAATTCAATCACACACACACAAAAGCACAAACATGCAATCAGTCCTATAATTACAATGATGCATGACTTGAAGTCAACAGCCTTAACAGGATTACTCGTGGCTTTAACGAGTTCATAGTACTTTGCTATAGTACTAGGATAGCAAAGTTACTGAAAATATCTGAAGTAGTAAAGTTTGACATGTTCCTCCTCTCTGGACAACACACCTCTTTCCTAGGAGGTACAGGTAGGAAATAAGTAACTTATTCAGTGATGCTCCTTAAAATCTACTGGGTGGTCTCTGTGCAAACTGTTCTGCAATGAAAGAAAGTTTTCACTCACTAGACTTGCTCCTACAGCAAAACAGTTGTCACTCACTGACATTTTAAAAAAAATAAATAAACAAGTAAATAAAAAGCATAAGAGAAATACCTAAGTCCAGAGGCAAAAGAGAGACAGCCCAAATCACCTCTAAGACTTTGTATGTGTTTTGAGCACAACTGTGTATTTTGGCAAAGAACAAGTGACAAAGAATTCTGCCCAGAGAAGTACTTGAACTGCAATAACCTCAGACCAGCACTTTCCCTAATGCAGGCTTAGTGTAGGTGTTCAGCATGATGAAAGCTAACATACACTCCTAAATCACTGAATAAAAACACAATAAACTAAAACGCATCTGAAAACATTCAGAGATGTCATACTCTGTTTCCATTCGCAAGTTAACAGACTGATAAATTAACGAACAAAGCATTAAAGTTTTACAGTCTTGCCCACGATGTCAAAATGTTGCAGAAGTGGGTTTTTTGGTAGATTGTTGTGGTTTTTTCACATGACAAGGAGAGTAACTGAAACACAGGATTATCAGGAGAACGTCCCGGTTTACGTATATGCACACTGGTATTCACTTCCTTTTCTAGAAGGAGATTGCTCACAGCTGCAGAGAAGAATCTGAAACTTCAGAGTTGAACGTGAGGATAGATAAATATAACCATTGCAACATACCCATTTGGCTTCATGCATCTAGCCTGCTCCAACAACTACCCAGCTCTACATTCTGCAGAGTAAAAGTATCTATATCTGCTGTGCGGGGACATATTAAACAGAAGTTACACAATCTAATCTTCCATTGGTTTCCTACTGAAATGTTATGAAAAGTTTTCAATGCATATGAAAGAATAATCAGACTCTGAAAATTATCATACCTGATACAGCAAGAAAATCATCGATACTTGTTATATCATCCACAGCTTCAGTAAGAACATGGATGTGATTCTCCCATGTACTCCTATACATCTCCATGTTGTTTTTCACAACTTGACTTTTTGGTCTGGCAGCAAGAGCTAAAGCAGCATTAATAACCTGTACCAAAAATAAACAAAAAATTCAACATCTAAATAATTGTGTCTTCAGAAAGAAAACTTTATGCTTTACTTAAAATTGCAGAGCAGCATTTCTGTTCTCTAAGCAAAAGCATTGCTCAACTTTTGTCTCTGTTCTCAGCAGGAGTACCAGTCAGATGGTGCTTAGGCTAACTTCCAGTTTAGCTTCATAAATTAAGAAGCTGATGGAATAGGATAGTAAAAATCCTAACACTGCATTTTTGTTGGAGAATTTATACTATTTCAGTTTGCAAGATATTAATACAGCAAAGTTTTTACTTACACACCCTTAAGGCATACACGTATCAGTACAGCATACATCACTTCAGTTCTGAGGTTAAACTCTTTAAGAACTGTTATCACAGAGTTTATTATGGAGTATCTTCACTGCAAGAGATATTATCAGTCTCTGTCATATAAGAGTGGAAGGTTTTACTAGGACAACAGATATCTCTGTTAGGCTCAGTGGTGTGGGACATAACACATGCTGCATCTACAACAAAGCAGCAGATTGCTGCTTCCAGATTACTCAGGCCTAAAACTAGTAAACTATGTTCACATGAAAAGAGTAGATGTCACCTCTCCCAGGAAAGACTAACTGAAGATGTAACTATCAGATCCTAAAGTGATTACTTCTATACACACTTCTTTAATCAGTTTATTAGCTAGAGGAGTTTTTCCCCTAATATGGCTTTTTGTTGTTGTTATATAAACATTATTTAAAGTAATACACATCCCAGAAGCTGACCATTAACCTTACACTAACCTTTTTCCTCCTTCCCAGTACTGTTTCTTTATTCAAGAGGAGAATGATTTTAAGATGACAAAACAATACATAATCAAAAAATGGGAAGAACAATATACCACACTAATACCCAGTGCTGACGGTACACATCCATTTAACGTTGTTGGTTATCATGCCAGTGTAATACAGTCACTGCAACAAAGAATAAGAACAAGGAAATTCCTCATCCTAAGCCCATCTGATGTGTCTTTACAGCAGTATCAATCCTCTTGACTCTATTCCAGTCATAAGCTACATTTTCCACCAGTTTTGTATGGTTGGTATTTTTACATATTGCATAAACAGTTGGTGAAATAACAACAAACTTATTATTTGCCCTCTCACAAGGAAGGAATACGTGCAATTAGACTTTCACAAGAACACTGCAGGGACTGATTATTCTGATAAGGAATAACAGACCACATGCTTATCACTTTCCAGGCAGCTGGAGGAGGAAAATAACTACAATGAAGAAAAGGATTTCTTCACCAACTCCACAAGTGATCTAAAAAAACCAGAATTCTGTCCTGTAAGTACAAATATGAAAGCACTTTCTAGCATGAAGAAAAAAAAATCCCAGAAGGCAAAACAAGTTGTACAGCTTGTTGTTGTAAAAAAATTTGACGATAATAGTAACTACAACAACAATAAGCAAATCCCTTGATCAACACCTCAGATAATATGGAATACTCTTTAAAATAGATTAAAATAAACAAACCTCTAAAGCACCTCAATATCCACCACTGCCAGCTATGGTTTCAGCAGTTTGCCTATGTAATATTTTATTTAAAAAATTACAGCTCACAAACCATACAGCAATACATACATAATGAAGTCGAAAGGTACACTTAAACGAGACTGTTTTCATGCAACATCCTTAAAACAAAGCCACTGACTTTTTAAAATAGTAGATGTTACGAGCAAGAGACAGAACACTGCTCTTAGCCAGGCCTGGTAAGCACTCAGAACTGACTACCCTTGTTCCTTTTCTGGTTATTAATTTGGTTTGTGCTAAACACAAGAGTTGTCTCCAGAGTTTTCAGATAGTTTTTCAGTATAACCATTACGTGTTATACAATTTTATTTTATCCATACTCCAGATCTACAAAATCTGCAGCAAAAGCATTTATCAGTTGTATCATCTGAGAGCAGATCTGTCTCAATGGTGTATGATCTTTCCCTGCCCCTGCAGGCACACCATTTAAATCTCTCATGTGAAAAACACAGTCCCAATTCTCTACTCTCATTTATTGCTTTTGTTAAACGCAATTGTCAGGAAACATATATGGTTAAAATACTGAAGGTGCAGTCTCATATTTTAGTTCATAAATAACATTCTCTCCTCCAATAAAATGTGGAAGAGAACCAGTAACTTCCAGTGAGATTAGAAGAGAAGCTTTCCCAAATGAACACTGAGTGTGGCTTGGAGCACCGCTAAAATCACACATCGCTTCTAAGACCCGAAAAATAGTAATAATGGAGCAATGCTGACACAGATAAAAAGTTGATCATTTATACCTCAACAGAAAGTGAACATTAAAAATGAGTCACCAAGGACTTTGAAGCCCTATTCAAAGACACCAACAAAGGTGTTCATCTCCTTGGCATAAGCAAGCTGCTGTAATAAACCCTCTGCCTACATTTTCACACATGCTATTCATTTGCAGCACCACTTTGGAAACGCAAGGTCTCTTCCTGCAGGCATTTGTTTATGCTCCGATAGCCAAATAATAGACCACTCAGGCTGCTGAAGGTCTAAACTTCCATTTATACACATTGCTTCTACTGAAGGCTCTGCAAATTTTTTTTTAGTTCTTTGTTTGTTTGCAAACAGTTAAAGCAGGAAATTCAGGAGCTTACTGGGGTTTATTTTATTAAGAGTTCTTCCTCTGTTATAGCACCTTTGGCACTAGACACTCACTTAGAACAAATACTTCAAAGTAGGCAATAACATACTATGCTAAAGCCAGTCTCAACTGACTTCTAGTTTCACCAGTAACACAATTTCCCTCATTTACTAAAAAAAAAATGCTTAAAATGCAACTGTAAGCAGTTTATGAACTAGGCTTCAGAACATCCGTTCAGTTTTTTTACCACATTTCTCAGGATTTGTGTTTTTTTACTGTTTGTTTCATTAGTGTTTTTTTTTTCTTAAATACAGCACTTAACTGAAGGGACAGTTAATATGCACTAGAATAGACTGCCTGGAGAGACCCTGAACTCTCCACCACTGCAGAAACTTAAGAGCAGGGTAGTTAAAACATCTACCAGGAATATTTCACATCACTCAATCTTGGCAAAGTTGATCTTGTAGTGATGGAAGAATGAAGAGAGGGAAAGCGGAATACACACAACATCAATATGGCATCAGAAGAGAGCTAAAATGAAATGTTTTTCTGACTTGATAACGAACATTTGTAATAGTACATGAGAAGAGCAGAGGTTCTAATACTACCAGGAAGAAAACGTTTCAAGGCTGGCATCAGAAGAAATCATCCACACACATTTTAAAATTTTTTACATGGGACCTTTTCGAGGGAGTTGGGATAATTAATTACAAGCTAGTATTTTTTTCAAATATTAACTGTAAACATTTGAAAATGTTGTAAAGTAAAAAAATACTTGTCATTACTAGCTAAGCCTCAAAACTGAGTACTTTCTGGAAAGCACATTGCAAAAAACCAGCACATATTTCTGTAAAATTCATCACGCTTTAAGTCACAAACCACACCCAAAAACCAATTCCCTGCCAATCCCTAAAACATGCCAGAGCTTTTACATTAAAGATTCTGAGCTTCCATCAGGTGTTAAACCAGCCTAAGTTTTGTTTCTAAGATATGGACTGCACAGACCTGCAGCAGACAGAAAAATACTACTCGGCTAACACTAAAGAGGAAGATCTGGTTTGCCCTCTGCCGCTCCATGAACCATTGAACCATGCTGTGCAATGGGTAAACTTGCAAATAGCTTTCAAACGGAGTGTAACTGGACTGCCTTTTCATACAGCACCAGCAAGAAACATGCCTGGGCACCCTCATGGAGCTAGGATTTGCAGCACAATTTGCTTCTGCACAATTTGCAAGTATGAGGTGCTTCTCTCCAGACACCCTGCGGTCTGTAGCACAAACCTAGCAAGAAAGCACTGAGAGTACCAGCTGTGCACCTATACCAGGGTCTGCTGCCCAGCGGGTGCAGGAGATGGGCTACAACGATGAAGGCAAGTGTGGTCTAGTATCAGCACTCAATTAAATATCCTCAGAGCTGGTTAAACCAAAACAGGATCTGTACATCCAATCACATCTGCATATTCCACAGTTGTGTATGAGAAACAGTATCTGGTTTCCTTATTCCATCAACAATACCAAAGACACTAGAATCTTGCACATACAGTGTAATACATTAAAGCTCATTTCTGTGTGGCTCTACAGCAGCTCCCCTAACATTCTCTTAAAAGTAAGAAATTTGTCAAAAGTTGAAATCTTGCTGTTTTCATTCCTATCACACTTGATCCAATTCCATAGGATCAGTTTTCTGAGCCTGAGGCTCAAAATTTCAATAATTCTTCGGTTACATTGGTCCTAGTTCTGTTTACCACGCTAACTGAACAGTTTAGATTTTAAAATGCGTCCATCAAGACTGAAGGTGGGTGTGCAGGGAAAAGAAAATAAAGAATTGCTGTGTCTCAACATTCCAACCTTGTGCAGAAGAGACTAGAAAATGCCAAAAATCTTGTTCCTCAGCTGCGGCTCATAGGACATATATGCACATACAAGAATGTGGACCACGCAGCTCCTCTCTGTCGATGTTGTACTTAGAGCACATCTGATTCCCTTGGTGGTTGTCAGACTAAGTGCTTGAATCTGTTCCCCACAGTCTACATCACCAGCTGCCTCCAGAGTGCTGAAGCGCTCATGAGAATCCACATCATGTTTCCAGTATTCCAGTCGAAAACCATCTCAAAATCAGGTAAAAAAAATTCTACTAGTGATACACCCAATGCCACAGAACAAACTTATGTCAGAGGGAACCACGTATCCCTGATTTTAGCTTCTTGCTTCAACAGGAGGAATGTGTTCTCCTGTGAACCTACCCTATCTATTACTGCATGCCATAGGTATTTATATTCCCCACTTCACTGCTGACCGCCCCTCTTCCATAAAAATGCAAAACTACATCTCTTAACAGTGGTACTGTTT